CTTGTCGACTACATTAATTTAGAATGGGCTTGGTGATGCTTGGCATGCATAAGGCAATGTCACTTTGCGGTATCAATCACAACACACCGGACCTGACTTGACACCAGTTAGTAGGTAGTAGTAGAACGAACTTTGTGTACTCTTTTGAATTTAAAATGGGAAGAAATGATGTCCACCGTAGCAGGAACTTTGGATATCCGCTAACAATTTCTTGATGTATTTCTCAGGTATTTTTTCACGAAATTCGTGAAGGACACTGGCAACTGTCCAAGAATGATAACTGCCTAACGATTTTAATTTATCGAGAGCATTCCATTTAAAATGACTTAAGCGGTTCGCATTTATATTGTAGTTTAAATTGCTTGGAGTTGCTTAATATTACAAGGCTTTAATAAAAACACGCCCTCTTGCACTTTGAATTTCACAATAAAGCGGAATATTGCCGCAGTCCATCGCAGCAATTTAATTTTTCTAATTTAGGCAAGTAATAAGCGATCCACCAACGTAATATTAGCCGTCACTAGTTGCTATGACGGGGTCGTCTTTGATGAAAGAAAAGCAGTGCTCAAGCAAGTGCTGATAGAATGAACTGACTCTGTCAAAATAGTTATATTTTAAACAAAACGAAGACTGTGTTGCTTTGTAAGATCGTGCGTGTTGGGGCTTCGCTAATCACGCCACAAGTTTACTCCATCGTTCTTAAGATTGTCTAGAGCTTGTAGTTATGCGTACCCATCGTTCTAATTCGATTCTGAAATCAAGTTGATTTTATAAATTTATAACTTCACGACATTACACGACATACATCCACAAGAGGACCGCAAACAGGCCTCATTGGTGGGAAAGAACGCACGGAAACATAATAAAATGTGTACGAGGTAAGTGAATACGAAACCGGAATTTGATCATATATGGCTCTAATATCACTTGAAGAGGACGTTTATGTGTATTAAATCGATTTTAACTTTTCCACAAGATATTCAGTCACTCGAGTTTGTAAACTACAATTCATCCACAAGACATGCATTCATACAAAGCCACATTCTACATACAAACATACTATGCATACAAAAATATACAAAATGCTTTAAAAATTTCGCTTATGTTCATGTACATGAAGCTTTCACATCGATTTACAGCGATAGTTGTAGTAGGTAGTAGTTGCAACAACTAGCAGTAGCAATAAAGAGAAATAGTAGTAACAGTAAAATAAAATAATAGGAGCTTTAACCCTTGTTCCAATTTTTTTCTCTTTCTTTTATTATGATCCATCCCGCGTGGGATGTCTCCTATGCGGGTAACACGATAACGGCCAAGAAGAAGTTAGGAACGACAACGAAATAGGAACCTGGTTTTTGTCCCCTCGGCAAGTTAGGTTCTACGCCTTTAACGATTGAGCACTCACTTTATAGTGAGTAACGAGAGCTCTCTCGCGCTGAGATTTTAATCCTTGAGCACTGACTCGATAGTCGCCATTCTTACCTACTCCACCACTGATGTGGACTTATTAGCTCAAAGTACTTTTTTCAAATTTCTTCAAAATGGATGGTTAAGGGTTAACTATCTTCACTATAGTTATCGTTGCTTTCCAAACATGCGAATTGTTTAAAGGACGACATCAGGACCTTTTGGAAGAGTAAGAGAAGTCAGAAAATATAAGACGACATGACCTTGAAACAGGCAAACGCAACGCATATGGCAGCCCTAACAGTCAACAGCTAATATGATCCAGCCATTTAAAAACGATTAGTAGAAGAACATGCCCACTTGGAATCTCATATCGATTAAAAATATATTTAATTTTGTGTGGTTTTCTTGAAGTCATACGAATTTAATAAAAAGTTTACCATCTCTTTGCAATTCGATGCTGGTATCCATATGAACTGAATATTCCCTCCGGCACCTACATGGTAAGGGGGATGTAATAATATGTAGTACACACAAAGGCTTATTGAAAGCAAATATTTTTGATTCGGTTTTCACACTTCATTGCGTACGATATGCTTTCTTTATTTTCACATATGTTTGTTTTACAATTTGTTTTTTAAATATATTTTTTGTTTGTGTATATATATATATATATACATATATATGTGTTGTGCTCGTATTTATTATACACAAATACATACATACTATTGTATATTAATATAGTTCTCATTTCTTTTCAATTTACAATTTTAATAATCGATTACCAACAATTGTTTGTGTTTGCTTAAGTATTTCCTGTTAAGTGAACGCAATGTAGTATCTAAAGGTTGAAGAGAGAGTTGTTATATAAATATTTATATATATATATATATATATAATTTCGTAATTATATTTTCACTTTATTTTCAATTTTTTTTCTATAAACATTTCTGTATTCATTTTAATAAAAACCAACACAAGTATTAATAAAATATTTTTTTTCCTTTTCCTTTTTTCTTTTTTTGCTATCATTATTATTAAAAATTGTTGTCATATTTTTAAGGAATTTTTATTTACATCGTAAGTGTGTGTTGTAAGTTATATTTAAATAAATATTTTTCATATATTCTTTGTTATATTTTTTTTCGATTTTCTTTTTATTTAATATTTCTATTAAATATAGTTTAACGTATATTAAATATATTTTTATTAAATTTTTATCAAACTCTCTCTTTTCTTTTTACTATAATATTAAACATTAAATATTAAATGTTTAATTATTAGTTTTTCTTTAATTTTTTTTTTTTTTTTACAATCACATTTGTTCAACAATTTCAAGCCAGTTTTTTCATTTAGAGAATTGAATTTATTTACAAATCGATTTTGAAAGGACAGATATTTTTTACAATAAGATTTTTATCTATATATATTTTTTATATATTTTTTGGTATTAAACTTAAAAATCTTGCTTAAGGGTGAAGTTATTTTCAAATTATCAACATCGCTAAGCGAAATCAGGAAATTGTAAAATTGAATAATTACTTGGTCGCTTTAAATCTAAGTCGTAGGTCGAAGAAATATGTCACAGTCGTAGACGTAATGGATTTTATTTTAAAAAGAACAGATAGTTTTGTGTGTCGAAAGAAAATTTGCGATAATAAACTCAATGGGTTTGCTTACAAACTGCAGATAGTTACTGAGTGACAAGAGGTTAAAAATCAGCAAGATCAGTGTATCAATGATAGATGCAAGTGGTCGGCAAATAAGGCTTCGTCGGCTTTGCGCTCTGAATAAAAGCACGCATAAGTTAAATAGGATAGTGGACTTAATTTCAGAAGTCTAGTTCGATTATCAGCTCAGACAGGTTGAATTCAAAATATTGTAATTACGGGTCTCTTACTATTAGATCTAAGGCAGAGTAAGCTTTTTGCAGTAAAGCAATACTAACGGAGTAACTTTCAGTATCCAGCTGGATAACAATGAATCATCCTGCAGACAGCAATTTAGCGCACAAGAGGCTTGCTGCCAATTACAGCTCTGAGATTTAGTTTACGGTGAATCGATTATAACTCTCAGAATATGGCGAGATAACCACAAAAAAAAAAAAAAAAATTCGTTCAAGGATTGCCATGTACCACTGTTCAGCAACAGTTTTGCTTGCCAGTTGATGTTTTTCAGAACAAATGAAGTTGCGTCGATAGCTTGGCCTGAATCGATTGTAATTCTAATGAATCGATTACACGAAGTCGGCTACAAATCTCATTTATATTACATTATATTAATATTGAGTACAATGGAATACACCTTCGCGTCCAAAGCGATTTTGAGTTGCATAAAACTCAGAATAATCCCCTTTTCGAAACTAATTTTGTTTGTCTATTGTAATTTTTAGCCAAAAATACACAACGTGTGCCAAAGTGGGTCAAAAATTTTTCGACTATCTATGCAGATCCTTAGCAATAGCAGTAGTAGTAATAATAACAGAAACAGTAGGAGGAAATGGCAACGGTAGCAAATAACAGTTGTAGTTATAGTGGTAATCAGCAATGGCAATAGCAACGGAAACAGAGTAACAAGTAGAAAAAGTAGCAAATAGACGTACAGGACGTTGGTAATAAAAGTAGCGAAAGTAAATGAGCATCAGTACTACGCAATCGCGGTAGTGATAGTAATAAATATAATGTAAATAAATATTCATAGTAGTAATTAGCTGTAGCAAAAGTAACGGAAGTAAAGTAATAAAGTAGCAAATAGACATCGTAGTAATAGTAATAAAATTAGTATAAGTAACTGAGTAGCGTTAGCATTAACCAAGTGTAGTAGTATTGATAATAGATATAACGAAAATGAAGATCCATGGTAGTAAGTAGCCGTAGTAATAGTAACGGAAGTAGTGTAACGTGGTAGTAATAGTAGCAAACAGACGTTCAGGAGGTTGGTAATAAAAGTAGCGAAAGTAAGTATCGAATGTAGTAAGTAGCCGTAGTAATAGTAACGGAAGTAGGCTAATATAAATATAAATAATATAAATAAATATTCATAGTAGTAATTAGCCGTAGCAAAAGTGACGGAAGTAAAGTAATAAAGTAGCAAATAGACATCGTAGTAATAGTAACGCAAGTAGATTAACGAAGTAGTATTAGTAACAAATAGACGTCTACGATGATAATAATAAGACTAACGAAAGTAACTGAGTAGTGTTAGTTGTAGTAGCAATAGATATAATGGAATCAAGTAACATTAGTTGCACTTGCTCGTGGCACCAATGAAAGCAGAAGTAATGGATACTTTACTCGAGCAAGTGTATAAAGAAAACCAGCAGTTGTAAGTAATGAGACCTCTCAAAATTAAAAACTGCTACTAGTACTATTGTGAGGATTTTCGAAAACTATTTCACTGTGTACTTGTCCGATTCGCTGCTCATCACACAACGTCCATAATATCCAATGTCTTGAAAAATTCTTCAGATTTTACAATTTTTTCTTTTTCGATTTAACAAACAACCAAAAATCAATTTCTGATCATAACTTAAATAAAATTTTTTTATATATTTCTACGGAATTAAAGAAAATATAAATTTTCGCAATATTTTGTTTTTTTTTTTTAAGTGTTTTGTGCTTCAAGGACAAACAGCTATTTCTTAAAATTGTTATTAAACGCGTAAATTAAATTTAGAATAAGGTTTGCTTAAATTCTTATAGCTTTCTAATAGAAATGTAAAGAAAGTGATAAAATTTCTACTAAATTTCTATCCCGTTTCGGTTTTATGCCAAATTCCAATAATCGCGTTGATTAAATTTCCTCCTGATATTTGTACAGATCTCGGCAATCAACGGGGGGCTGTGTTAGTGAAAGGAAAAAAGACTTCTAAGAACCAGCGTATACTTGAGAGTTTTCCACAGATTCTTCGAGTAGATCAGCCATTTTTATCAGCTACACTTCTTCATAACTACGACATTTTGGTACCGGACCCGACCAATTCCCATCCGGTTGGCATTTCGGACGTTCAGGCGGACCATTCTCGCTGTATTGTACATAACCCGGTCGACATTGTACGCTGATGTAATCGCCGGAATCATAACTGAATTTTAAGGGGGCCAATAAACCATTGGGTGGATCGCCGGGATACGGACACTGTGACTTACCTAAAGTTTAAATTGAATTTTATTTAATTTAATTTTATTTCTTTAAATTGATTTTTTTTTAAGATTATTTTTTTTCTTTTTTATTATTCCTGGCAACACTTAAGCAAACGTTTGTTGAAAATATTGTGTTGTCAGCCAATTAAAGCTGTTTGGTTTGCTTTTGTTGGATATCTGCACACTTCACATTCTTCTTCAACAACCTAGTTTTCTTGTGTTAAACCTTTGCATCCACAAAAATATTGGTTATTTTCGTTTTTCATATCTTTTTCTTTTTTGTTCTTTTTTTTTCTTCTTTATTTTTTTTTTTTTTAGGTTTTACTTACAAAACGGTGGCGAATGTGACCAGAAACCACTTTCCGTACATATGATACTCGGCTCACCGACCAGTGTATGTCCTTCATTGCAACTGAAAGTGATCAGTGCACCCACAGTGAGACGACGTTGATTTATATTCGTGCCACCAATGCGGCCATTTAATGGTGCTACCGGTGTCGGACATTGTATAGCTTTCAGAAATGAAATTAAAATAGAAACCAAAAGATAAAAAAATTACAATCAAGTTACATAGAAAAAATTTCAATCTCTAAATTTTCATCTCAGGTCTGCATCAATAATAAACTTATTTAAAAACCTAGTCTTTAATTCTTTCCCTTTCGAGCGATTTTAGCGTCCCCGACAATTCATTTTGCCAAGTAGTTCTATAATGTTTCGTAAATAAATTGGTTGTCGAGTTTTTCCTTCGTGGTTGTCTGTTATTTCAATTGCTTACGACACGAGCTTCCATATAAATAAAATAACAGTTTATTGAAAAATTTTTTGTTTTTGTTTTTATATGTAACCTGATATAAGCGTACACGAACCGGCCAAGCAATGGTCAATGTCGTTATTACGTTTTTACGATTGGCTATTAAAAATTCAATTACGTTATATTCAGTCTCAGTTGCAACTACTCAGGTATGATATTTGAACGGTTGCGGATGATCAAAAAAGAAATCATCCGGAGGTGCTAAGCCATCGGCATAGTCGTTTAGCTTAGATACCAGGTGTTAGTGCTTCTTTACTTACGGGAACCTAATGACACCTTAGTGGATCAGATGATCGCAACGTGGAATGTAGAAAAAAAAGACAAATAGGACCTTCAGCAAACTACGTTTTTTTAGATTTAAAAATTTCAAGACTTCCGCTCTCCCTCTGGAGCCGAGTGATTAGAACAACTGTTTGAAACCACTAGAGATGTCAAGAAGTTTCAATTATTGTGAAAAACTTCTAATAATTGTGAAACGTATTCCGTTTGTTCTTCTCTTTGCATCCGCTACTCAGTCGGACTTCAATTGAAGTCTATATGTCATTAAGAGTCATTATAAATATTTGCGAAACATCGTTTCCTGCAGTCGATACGACATATGACGAGTTTTGCATAATAGACACATATAAATATTTGTTAAGAATTTACCTTTACATCTTGGAACTGGGCCACTCCACACGCCCGTCGGTTCACATTCCAGAGTCGGCGGACCGGTCAATTTAAAGCCCCACTGGCATTTGAACACCGCCCGGCCCCAAGCCGAAGTATTTAATTCGACTAAACTCAAATGCGGATCGTCCAATGTCAAACGCGGACATTGTACTGCATGACAAGTAGGTGCCGGCGATGACCAATTACCGGAAGCCAAACAAGTAGCATTCGCAATGCCATCAACCCGAAAACCGGGTGGACAGCGGTATATGGCACGCTGTCCCAATTTGTTACCCTCTAAACGTAACGTGAGCGGATACGCCGGTTCCGGTAGCTGCGGGCAAGTGGATGTGGCCACAACAATCGATATGCTATTCGTTAAACCGCGCGGTGAAGTGCAAGTAAATGTACCGGTATCACCATTTTCAATATTGCGAATTGTTAAACGATAACGTAAATTTTTATCTTCATGAGCCCAACCTAAATAAGTATATAAGGAAGATATAATTGTATAAATGTGTATGAAATAATATGTAAACGATCTGTTGAGCATATTGACGATAGTAGAAGGAATACCTGTAGGATATTGCATATACCAGCTTGTCCAAGTCCATTCGGGTATACCTTTTAAACGTGGATAAATACAATCCAATAAGATGGTACTATGCGGCAAAACAGCCATTACACCTGATGGCTCAAATGAGCCGGAGCCATTCAAGATTCTAAAACGTATTGACGGAGCGCTGTCGTCCGAGAAATTCGTCAACAATGTGGTGGGTACGCATGAAGGCATACGTGGTGCCCATAAACCATTCGAACATAAAACACGCGATTCACCCAGCAGTTTGTACAAACCCAAATCCTTACAGCGCGCTTGCAATGAGTGACCATGTGGTAAATCCCAGCCCACATTCTAAGAAGAGGGGGCATTAAAGTGCAGTAAAACATTACAATGATCATGACGTATGAATTATGATGAGTCAGAAAGAGGCGAGCGAGCGAGAGCGACAGAAAAAGTTTTTTAATGCAAAATGCCAGGTTACATGCGAGCGAGAATTTGTGTAACACAGACATGTGAAGAGAGAGAGAGAGAGAGAGAGAGAGAGAGAGAGAGAGAGAGAGAGAACAATACCAGTTATAGAGAAATATGCAACAAAGAGGGAGAGAGAGAAAAAGAGAGAGAGAGAGAGAGAGAGAGAAAGAGAAAGAGATAAGAAGATAAGTGAGAGCATGTGAACGAGGCAAACATATGAAGTGTGGTTTAGTAAGCGTGCTGTTCCTTTCACTCCACTCCACTCCACAATGTACACTATTGGTTGTAGAGGTGAATGTATTAGAAATTGAAACTGTATTAGAGAGAGGTGTGTGGTGGTATAGGCGAGTAAGTGATCTGAGTGACGGCAAAGAGTTGTTTAATAAGCGTGATGATTATGTGAGAGAGGGGATAGAGACGGAGAGTGAATTCGTTTTCTGTATGTATTTCATTTCTTTTTTTTTTCTTTTTTTTTTATTTTTTTTTTATTTATTTTTTTTTCAGTAAATCATTTTCAGCCAAAAGCAGCAATTATTCAGAACTTTCTAATATCGTTTCTAAGAAATGCTCTAAAGAAAAATTATAATTTAATCTATAAATATGAAATTGGTGTCAATCAAAACGAAACGAAAGAAATCACTACAAAATTTGATTAATTTAAGAAAAAATATTTTGTTGTTGAATTTTATATAAAAAGGGCTTTGAATGGTTTTTGGTTTGTTTTGTTAAGTAAGTAAGTTAAGTAAGGATGGGGCTTTTTTAAGACCCCTGAGACAACTCACAATTTGTGTGTTTGAAATAAAATTCGATTTAGACGTACGATTGCGTCGCGACCGGTAGATGGGGGTCTGTAAGAAGAGATAAAACAAATACAAATAAAGAGAAAAGAAAAAACCAAAAAAATAAAATAAAACCAAAGTAGAAGAAAGAGTACATAAAAGTTTTAAATTTATATATAAGATGAAATTTTTAAAAAAGCATTTTGCTCAAGAACTAAAACCCAAATCTAAAGTAAATTATGAAATGCATATAAGAAAGTTTAAGATACGAAATTAGAAACGCGTTTGTTTATGACATTTTTCTTCTTTCTACAGTTTTTCTTCTTTCTAATTTTTTTATTAAATTTTTTTTTTTGTTTTTCTGCAGTGTAATCTATGAAGGGCTGTCTCGTATTCACCACAGTGTGTTGTTCTTCTTTTTTAACTTACCACTGATATATTACGATAACTCAATAATAAGTATGGTGGTATACGCTGTACATGGCAGCTCTTGTATAACGGCTGAAATTTCACATTTCCGTTTTCATCTAAAACAGGGTTGTATGCCAAAAATTTGTTTCAATTAGACAAAGAAAAATGCATTAAGTTTGTGTTTTTAAAGTGAAGAATTTATGTTGTGATAGAAAAAGTGAAGAAATAAAACGAGCGATAAAACTTGAGTGCTTTTATGGTAGTGTTTTATTTTTTTTTTTTTAATCATTTTTAATATTTTAACACATGTATGTTAAATAAGTGTTTGCTAAAGATACATCTTAATCTGTTAATTAAGTAACTAATAGTTTTTGTGCGTTGTTTCAAAATGTTTGTTTTCTAAATTACAAAGACTCACACAGAAAACAATTAACATTATAATCGTAGAATATATCGCTTCAAACTATTTTCGCTACTTTTCACCTACAATACATATGTATATATATATATATATATATATATATATATGTATTTATATATCATCATTATCGACAAAATACTGAATTATACGATTTAACATGCTTTACTTTCAATACTATTTTTCGTGTTTTTTTTTTTTTTTTTTTTTTTTTTTTAATTTTATAAAATATATTCAATTTCATTTTCTTAATTAATATAAATGCATATGGTTTAAAAATTGTTTGCTGGGTGGTGCGCGTACAATGTGTGCAAATGTTTATTAGAAATGTTTTAAACGAACATGTGAACATGTGTTGGATTCATCAAATTCACTTACCCTCTTCGTTGGTGGCACACAATGGACCCACCCATTTGCCTTTAATGCAACGTATCTTACATAGACGACGATCGCCCAATGGTCCTATTTCGCCAGGGAACCGTATCTCAGATACTTCAGTAAATTGTTGTTGTATATCCATTTCTTCTTCTTCATCTTCTTCTTCATCCGATTCACCCTCGTCGGGATGTACTGGAGAATAGCCACCATCTTCATCGTAAATACCTAAAAAAAATGAAAAAAAAAAAATTTTTTTTTAATTATATAGAATATTTATATATTTAAAAAATTACTTTTTCAAAAAATCTGTGCATACAATTTGTATAAAATTTACGCAAGATTTAAATTTGTCACCATTTATGCGTAAGGTTGTCTTCTGCGAACCTTAACTAACAGTTGTTTTCTGATTGGGTCCCCCCCCCTCCCTCCTCCCCAACCTGTCGCGCATCAAAATAATCAACTTATTACTAGCCTAATCAAACACTTCTCCTAAAGAGAGAGAACATGTGACGTCAGAACGATTGACTCCTCACACAACATAGCAGTATATAGGAAATTAATTGTTCATAAGATTATGGAGAAATGAAACGATTGGCTTACCACGTACTTTGATTGCGACGAGCATACACGTCACTTACACTGGACTTTGCATTAAAAATCTTTTCGTACAAAAATCGAAATTCTTGGACCGACAGAACACCGATTTAGAGTAAACAAATGGAAAATGGATAAAAAAGAGCTTAAATCGCATAAGCTAGGATTAAAGAATATTTTTTTAACATTTTATTCATTTATTTAAAATAAGCAATATAATGAATAGTATAATAAAAAGTGCTTTCGCATCTGTTTTGAGACGAAAATTTACATTGAAGTTTGTCAAGGCATTTGACGAAGAGAGAACTTTGAATTCTTCAATGCTTTAATATAAACGATGGAAAGAAAGCAAATTACGTTTGCTATATAAATACTTGGTGATTTGCATTTTTTCGTATATACATTCTTATATGCATACCGCAACCAATATTCACTTAAAGCGTGAACGCACTAATATCCAAGGCTACCGGCATTATTGAAAACTGTCAATGATATGAAGAATGAAATTAGCAAAGTCGCTTCAACTTGAGAACCGAGAGATTCGGCACACGTTCACTGTTATCATTGCTATTATTTATCATCCACATTAGAACTTTTTTTTTTTTTTTTTTTAAACACCTATAGTGAATATGAAAAATTGCTCACGCTCTGACAAACTAAAAATTTATACTAATACCGATGTCGGACGAATTATCAAAAAGGGGTTGGCTTAATGTCGTTCTTAAAAAAAAAAAGAAGAAATTTCGATTTCGAGGATTTCCCTTGCTTTCCCTTCTCTCTTGTGTCGAGCCATGGTGTCTTTTTTTGCAGAACTACACTGCTTTCGCCCGAATGAAGTTAAAGGAAAAGAATGTAATAGATAGGTATTTTTGTTGTCTCTTCTCTAATATCCGCTGACTTACATACGTATCCTTAATATTTATGTCGCTAAGAACATAAAGCAACAATTTTTATTTCTCATTTTGATTGCATGCTTTTTCACAGACGGTATTCTTCCCTTTGCATAGACACTGATTGCCGACACTTTTCTCTTTGACAATACATTGGCAGACTTTTCTTTTTTCGCCTTTCATTATTTTCTTCATCGATAACATCATTTTAAGTGCATGCATGTACCGTAGTAGTCCTTAAGGCAAGTGGCGATCGGTTGAATGATTTTGCTTGCAAAAGGGTTCGTTCGTTCGGCTGTAGCAGTTTTCGTTCATTTAAAAAGCAGTAACAGTTTTTTCAGAAGAGCTTTGTTTACACACGCATACATACATTTTTTTCCTTTTATTAACGAATAGATGAATGATTTTCAAAATATTCAATAGCAGGACAAGGCATTGGGTTGTAGGACAAGTAACGGTAAGTGAAAGAATGCTTATTAGAAATTTCTTTAAAGCGACGGATGAGAGATCGGATCATTTACAGGCCTCTTCAGACATTGATTTGCAAACACGTCTCGTTACTTAGTTTAAAAATTATTGCGTTTATTCACTTTATTATCGTTAATCGGGTTTTTTCAGCCATTGATTCAGAAAGGCGCAGATGTGGTTTCTCTTATCTCTAACAAACCACTCGTTTTAAGGTATTCACAAACCTAGATCTCCCATCACTTAGTTTAAAAATCGCTGCGCTTATTCACTTTGTTAGCTCGCTTTCTTATTTTCGTAGTTCATTGTCTCGTTGCCACCTAGTTCCCTAAATTAGTTCTGCAGCCCCCAAATGCCAAAGGTCAAAATGCGAAATAGTGTTTCAAGTACACCAAATGCAACCGTGACAATCGAAAAATGGCATTACCAACTTTACCAAATTTCAACTGGTAATTGGCTCCTTCCTGTCCCATAAATCACGGCGTATGTCTTCCTTTCACAGCTAGTCTAGGGAATTATTACCTTTTCTAAGGTGCTTATGTCGCTAAAATCCCTCGTAAGGCTATATGTATTTTGCATACCCTCGGAAAAAGTCGAAAATGAGAAATTATTTAGAATCCTCTCCCTCGCATTCCAGCCAAGGCCAATAGAAAAAATATGAAAACTTTGCGGCGTCCTTCTAAAATTCCAGCTAAAGGTAGTAGTAAAGCGTGAAGGATGTGCTATTATTAGCTCTACAAGTTTTAGAGCGCCACGACGAGACTGTACTTTTATGTTGCATTTTGAGATGGTGAAGAAAATGGATTCACTTTCAGCAAAATAGAGTAAATTTCATTGCGTTAATGCTTTATAATTGGAAGTCCATTTAAGTGGCGTTTTATTTCATGGCTGTTTTAATTTGCCGAGGAAATCCTTTGAAGACAATGGCGAAAATTTTGAAGCGTTCAACTCGCCGAACTCGAAATGAAGATGGCGCTTGAAAGAATTTTAAGGATTTTTCCATCACTAGACAATGGAATTGAGATAAGAGAGAAGTCGGACCTACGCGTTCCTATTGAATACAAACGGAAACTGTTTATTTCCCGCTTTGAAGGGACTAATTGCCACACGATGAAAAGTTACTTATCTGGGTTGTCCGAGTTACTCAAAGAGTATGATTCACATTAAATAAAATTCATGGACATACCGTTTCTCGATTCAATATAATGAAATTCCAAACCTGACGTTGTTCTTACTCCTCATCCTCATTATTTTGTATTCATTGTTCTCTGAAATACTTGTTTAACGAAAGTTTAAATTTCGTGCGACCGTAAATTGGACCTAAAAACGAAGATCTTTTGCCCAAGCAACAGAACTATTCAATCCATTTGCAAGACATAAGTAGTTGGATGACACATTTTGTTTCGAATCTTTGCTTCTCATTCTGTAAAAATGTTCATGATAAGTATAGCTAAAGAGCGCTATTACTTTTCCGATGCATCAATATACCAAACAGGTTAAGTTTTCAGGAGAGTTCATATTGAGTTTGGGAAATATTTGCGATACAAAGAAATTAAAAAGCCTCTTGTTTATACCGGGTGAAAGATGGAATCAATCAAAACATTTTCATCCAAGCTATTTTAGAGTGTAGTAGAAATCTGGTATGATAGTAGAATAAACTTAACATTTGAGGAAAAAATCATTTATAATAGGTTTGGTTTGGTTCTCGGTAGCGCAAACCTCTATTATGAATTATTTGTCTTCTTTGTCTTACTTTTATTTGATTTGGTCATTGTCCACACTTTGAATCCTTTCTTTCACTAGAATCCTTTGCAATCTACTATCCAGAATAAATAGTAAATCTGCACAAACTTTGCAATTGTTTTACGTGTTGTTTACCATAATAGGATAGAAATTCTATCCGAAATTAGATTTAGTAGATTTAGAAAAACTACAGAAACACTTTGCCCATGTTTAAAAGAAGTCTCTGGAAATATGGCACATAAAGGAAATTTGCTTGACGTCAATAGCCTTATGCCAAAGATTTCACTAATAACGTTTTGGGCCGTGCCTTACGAATGATGGGGGATCTAAAATTCGATTTATGACAACAATTGCTTATTCAAATTTATGAAAAGTACGCTGGTGAATTTTTTGATTCGAATGAGGACATTGGCCCCGTGGAATTTCTACAAAGAACTCGTTTCATTGGAAATAGAAGACGAAGCATTCAAGCCAAGCCAAAAGTCTTTATGGCTTAAGGGCACACTTCATTTCTTTTGTTTTCCGAATTTTCATAAAGGGGACAAGCATTTGTTTTCTTCCAAACTTTTTTTAAAAACAAGAAAAGAAAAAGAAAAAATTTCGAAAAAGTTGTAAATTCCTCTTTAGGCTTTATTGGAATTTTTGTTCCTTATGTCCACGAATAAAACTTTATAGTGTTTTGTTTTTTTTTTTTTTTTTATAAATTGCCTGCCTTTTTAATCCCTTTCTTTTTTTTTTTTTTTTTTTTTTTTGCTTGATTATCTTCTTTAGTTCATTTTTTAGAAAAGTTTTCTCTCTAAGCAATTTATCCCCTTTTTTTTTATTTTTCAAAGTGTTTTATTGCTTCGACCTTATTTTCATATTTTTCTTTTTCTTTTAATTTTCATTTTTTTTTTTTTTTTTATACATTTTTCAGTTAAGTTTTCAACTTAATTTTAAGATAATATTCAATTATTAGTTTTCTTTCGTAATTAAAAAAACCTTTTTTTAAAAAAAAAAAGGATGGAAAAAAGGGGGAAAAAAAAAAAAAAAAAAAAAAAGAAAAAACAGACTGAAGTGAGAAAATCATATAAAAAGTTTATGAAAGCATTTAGAAATGCATAAACTTGAAATGTTTAATAAAATTTTCTCAGAAAGAACTTAATAAGCATCGGGAAAAGCAGAGTTTTTGCTTATAATTTTAATTAGTTAAATGAAATAAAAGATTTTACGACAAAAGGGCCTTAGAATACGAAAGAACCTTGACTTAAATGTAAATATAAAGCAAAATATGCGAATTTTGCAGAAAGAAAAAAAAAAAAAAGATCGTGTGAAACATTGTCTTTATGAATACTTATGTTTGAGCTCTTGCCCTCTTTCGAGTGCAGTTCTCTAAAGATGTGAAATTTCATAAAAATGCAAGCCATCTCATTACATATCTAGTTAATATCTAGGCAAGGAGGATTCCACGTTAAGACGGTAGTGGGATCAGTCGAAAAGACAAGCACATGCAGGAAGAACAGGTTAAGAAAAGAAAGCAAAAGTAAGAATGATTATGTGTTAGGACGAACAAATGTAAGCATGAGCAGTATGACAGAACAACAGACAGGTGAGGAGATGACCAGGCGAGAGGGTGGAAAAAAAAAAGGATAAATTAACAAAAAAACGAGTATTTGAAAAGTCTGTCAAATGCGACGCAAGTATGGATAGTATGTGAAAAGACGAGCCAAGTACGGGCACCAGTAGGCTGGTGAGCAGGAAGTCAGAAGAAAAGATTGTGGAAAGACCATCTTATTAAAGCAGCAGCAGGCGAGAGATGCACAAATGAAAACGATCGTAAAGGAGAGAATTCGGATGAAGGAAGATACGAAAGAACGAACAACCAACAACACGAATAGGCCATCCCGATGTGAAGGCTCGCAGCAAGGTAGAAAAGCGTCTTGAAGAACGATTAGCTTGGGTTGGCAAGAGCGCAGGCATAAGAAAAGCTATACCATAGCTTGTCTTACGAAACAAAAGGATGACTGATAATACGAAAAGAAAGCGAGGTGGAAAGAATGACTAGGAAGAACAAGCAAGAGGGCTTGCGAGCAAACAAACAGGTTAAGCCTGGCATATAGCATGCTAGCGAGAAAACAACAAGCGTGGGACGACCACCTGAAGGATGAGATTTTTTTTATCTACTGATAAAGAAGACGTATTTGATGGTATTTTCCGCTTAAATCTACAAAAAATCCCGTTATACATGTATATGAAAATCCGAATATAATAACAAGATTTTATCTTAAACTCTATCCCCTACTGACCATTGTAACTGGATGCATACCACACAATTATTTGTTCTGACCCTCTCATACTTTCTTACTTATAGCTTTCCTTTTGTAAACTTTCACATGTTGCATAAGTAGAGACCCGCATGATACAAAGTATATTAAAAAAAAAAAAAAAAAAAAAAAAAAAAAAGGAGAGAAAGTTAAAAGAGTGAGGTTGTAATGAATGTGGAGGCAACTACACACAAGGTCAAATACATGCAGATAAACGCGTTAACGCGCATTAACGTACCTTTATCTTTACGACTTGTGGTCTTCGAACCGGAATCGCTACCACCCTTGGGACGACTAAGAGCGCCGGTAGTTTTGCCTGATTTACGCTTAACGCGTTGTAAAGCGTCTGTACTCGTGTTCGAGTAAAAATGGGCATAATCATCAACCTCCTTAGTCCTCGCCAACGGTGGTTTAGGTTCATCATTAGCACTCTCTGTCATTACATCAGCAGCATTGCCTGTTGTGATATGGTTAACATAATTGGCCATTGCTTTTATTCCGTTTTCTTGTTTTTCTTGTTTTTCTTTTTCGTCTTCTTCTTCTTCATTATCAACTTTATTATTGAGTGCTATTAAGCTTCGCTTATGTCTGGGATTAATGAGCGCAGCGGTTTGCTGCTGTAATGTTTGTTGCTGATGTCTCGTTATATTCTTTAAATTATTATTAACATCTTTCTGTTCATGGCTATCTCCACGACGACGATGATGCTGTATCTGTTGTTGTTGTTGTTGTTGCTGTTGTTCTACTTCTTGATGTTGCTGTTCATTATCTGCTCTTACTGTTGCCGTTTGACTGTTTTTCTTAGATTTTTGGCATAATTCGTTTTTGCAATTTTTCATAGATTTCTTCCCTTTGGTTCCCTTCTTTTTATTTTTAATTTTATGTAATTTCAATCGTAACTGTTCATTGGGCGATCGTGATTTGAGAATGTCTTCTATGTGAATATAGTAAACGTCTCCATCGGCTGCCAATTTACCACCACTCCATTTATCGGTATCCGCTGAGGCATCAGGATCATGATGTATCGTTTGGCGTTTATAACGGCTGCCGCGACCCCTAGTTTGACCATTGTCATTTTCCAAACGGCGTCGACGACCCGAACCTGAACGATGATTTTTATTATATTTACGGGACTGTTGATTACGTTGACGGGAATTCTCATCGAAATCGGCGGCAATTTCTTCATCATTCTGATCCACATCCACCGAAGTTATGTCGCCATCGGCATGCAGCCCGGCTGCATGATAATGATCATCGCTATCGACCTGATAGGGGTTCACAATGCCGCCCATTTGAGTGCCAGCATGACGTCCTGTCAGATCGATATTGATTCGTTCGACAAATTCCACATCGGCGGTAGTGAAATCCTCGGGTAAATAAACCTGAGTCGTTTCGAATCTGGCATATGGTTGTTCTGTTGCCGTTTCTGGCTTTATAACCGTGAAACGTATATCTGGTGCTTTGCAACCGGGTGAAGCATCTGCAAAAGAAGGAAGGAAGGAAACCGTAATAAAAATAAAAAATGTTTTTTTGTAAATTTTTTTAAAATATCTCTAGTAAATCTAATAAAGTATTGACAGTCAAATACACTCCTCTGCAATGCGCTTTAATCGTTTCTACTTCAATCATTCATTCATTTATTCATCTATTCATGGCATACATAATATGTCATGAATTTACTTAAATGCGAGTGTGCATGTCTATGCAGGCATGTGCTCAACACGGTAACCTTGGCAATTTATTTAAATATCAAATTGAATTTAGTCTTGAACGACAACAACAACAAAAACAACTAGTAACAACGATAACATAGTAAGTGAGAGCAAGAGAGGGAGTGAGTTTAGTTTTACCCTCTTCCGTAAACTAACTACTATTCAAACTATGCATTCAAAGTTTTTCAATTTGCTGTGAGCATGTAAAACCTTCACACAAATGTCTACGCTCTAATACATATGCACCTCTGTAAACACATTTATAACCACATCTACGCAAATATGATTCGTATATACAATATTTTGTGATTCTTCTCATCAACTATGTATGTGTGTGTGTGTATGTGTGCATGCATTTTCTCAAGTATCCACGAATTCTGAAATTTACTGTACGTGTACACATACATACACACATATACACACGCGCACACATACTTCCTTCTTGCTTAAAAAACTCTCAGAATTACGCTTAAGTACATGCATTGCGTCTATGCGTAATTTCTTAGCAATATGCTAAGAAATATCGTTGAAAATTTTCCACTTCCTACTTTTATCGAATTAGTGAAGTGTTGCGTGTGAATTGAAAATTAAATTTTAAGCCGAGACTTTTGATTTAAAACAATGTATGAATTCGAGTGAATTCGAAGTTTTGCTTCGAGATTTGATTCGAAGATAATAACCGGCACATATGGAAGCAAGGGACACTGTGCTGGAGTGTGCGATACCAAATCACCGTTCGCGGTTTCAATTCTCAAGTGCAGCAGAGTTTTCTTTGGTCGTAGCTATAGTAAGTGGACGCACTATGTTACAGCCATCACCTCCGTATTTCTTCCTCTTTCCGCTCTTTTTTATGGCAGTCATAGTGTGCTTTACTTTTGAAATTTCGTCAATTTTGCTTTAGAATTAAAATATGGATTGTTTTCTTCCTTTTTTTTCGAAAACTACAGAACTTGAATGTGGTTCTAATATTGGCTGATTAATCAGACATTTTTTTCTTAAGACCTGCTCTCTTTCTATACCAAATTAATGTATCGACCGCGGTTTGAAGACTACGAAAATGGCACTTAATCTCATTATTGACGAACGCTTTGAGGCTCTTTTTACTTGAAAATGGCGTAAATTTTCGCCAGGGATTCATAGATCGAAAGGCATGTGACAACTTGGAAGATCGAAGAAAACAAGCTCGATGTTTTAACATACCGAGGGGCATTTTACGACTACAAGGATCGCACGTAACCTCAACTACTACGATTTCACGATAATTTAATGCATTCACTTACATTTGGTAAATCAAAAGATCGGGCATAATCTTAAAATTGATTGATTGAAAGTCTTTCGAGAAATCCTTTTTGTTATTTAATCGATGAAAGCATAGATCGGCACTTGACGACTAACGTCCATAAGCTAAACATAGACAATCGGCAGACGCATTTTTGCAGTCCATCGTAATCTTAGTATTGACTAATGAGATGTTCTCATATTACGCTAAGAAATTATCATAGACGCAACGTATCTTGAGAGAAGCACGCAAAAATGTGTACGTGTATTTTCAGCCCTAACCCCGTTGAAAGTAAGCAAGAGAGAATCGTACGCACTAATATTTGTTTACGAATCTGCATGAATATGTTTTTGAATGCATGATGTATGTATGTATGTATGCATATGTATTGGTAGGACAATTTAGTTATTTCATTTCGTTGCATATATCGGTGTGAAAACTTTATAGCATCTTGGATTTTTTCATAAAAATAGTTGTTGAACAACTTTTTAATACAATTTTTAACATATTTCTTGAGTACTAAGGAGAAAACGAAGAAGGAAAGCGAAATTAGACAGAGAAGGAAAGACAATTTAGAAAGACGGTTATAAAAAGTCTCTTTTCAATTAATTTAGAAAAGAATTGTTGTAGTGAAGGTTAAAAGGAAAATATACTTTCATTGAAGGAAAATAGAAAAAGATTAGACAAGGATCCTTAAGAAATGCCCTCAATCACATTTACACGCGTTTACTTCCGTTCCGTCATTAGACTCTTAATACTAATTGAGATCTGCATGGTTTTGGAACACCTTTGAAGAGTTTGCTGGAAGTTTTTTTTTTTTTTTTTGACAAATAGGATGCAACGTTATGTAAGCTTACTCTTCTATGAGGAGAGAATAAAACATAATGAAAATATTTCTTTGTGGGATGAGAATACGAAGAGACCGAGCCAAGTACTTCAAGGTTGTTTCTATCATCAATAAAGTTGATTACCAACTATGACATCATCTGTTGGCATCGCGTAATTAGATTATGGTTAAAATTCTTGCTGAAATGTACAGCGCCGACAATAATAAGCTCCTCATGCTCCGCTTAAGAGAACAACGATTTTTATAAATCTCAACGACTCCCATTAGAGATCGCATAAAGCGGTAGATAATAAGATTTACAAAATTTTGTGCTAATGATTACAGTTTTCCCACCATGGACTACTTACTAGTGGAAACCAAAAACTTATTTTGCTCTTAGCTACAAATGAGACTTGATGATGGGCTTGATTCAACTAAGTACTCGTCCTAGATTCATGAAAACTCTTAAAATTTCTTACTTAGATAATTTTATTTCTTGAATGTTTAAACGCCCATACAAATTAAAATTAAAATGGTTAAACTTTTAATTATGCCGCGTATACGCTAGTGCGCCTTAGGACTCTCTACCTCAAACCTAAAGAAATTAAAACGATTACTTACTTATTCGTTAATTAGAATTACATTCTCCTTGAGTTGCTATAACCATATCCCGAAATATATTTTGCGTTTCCCATGGCGTTCATTCTTTAATTTTATTAAGGTTAGACTGTTGCTCGTTTAACGTTTATAGTACTATTTTGCGGCAGGGATCGAAGGAGCCTCGGAGGAGGAGGTCGATTCGTAATAGCCATTTGATGATTCATTGAGTTACGCACTCTTTCTTTCTAGATAATAATTATAAGTCCATAGCCCTCCCTGCCTAAAGGGTTCCACAAAACTTCCCCGCACATCCCTAAGCTTCAAACATAGACTTTTCATTTTCGCAGGAAGCAAGTGGATTGGCTACCTTATTTGGAATTGGAAGTAAAGTGCGGGTGTGTTATGTTTTATTTCCTTTCCTACTATCATGGTTAACTTTCTCCTTTGCCTTTAATTTTCTTTTCTTTTCTCTTGAATTGTTTACGAATTTTTCGTATTATTGCAATTTTTATTTTTGCGCCCATGATAGACATTGTAACCGATTACAATACGCCTTAATGGTTTCGAGGTTACTTAAGCGTCAATAAAGTAAAAAAACACCTACCGTCTACCACTTTCAAGTTGTAGGGAAATTCGATCTTAAATTTCGTTGGTTTGAATTATAAGTTCAAGAATATCACTACGATTGGGGCACTGAAACATCCACAGGTTGATGATTATTTAAATCTGTGATATGTGAGTGCCGCACTAAAGCTACTGTTAATTTCTTGATCGTTTTAGTTACAACTAGATCAAGGAAAAAATGGATAACATCTCTGTTTCTTTCACGAGAGGTAAAACATAAGCTTCAAAGATAATACCTAGTCGGCATGTGAAGCATCACTCAATAACTGTGAAAATGTGTCAAAATTTCATGCCATTTCAACTATTAATGCACTGGTTGCAATTGATTACATTTTTGTAAAGCATTAAAAAAAATCCGATTTTCATGCCCAGCAGCGCTACAACAACTCGAATGAAAACTGTTTGTTCATTTGCAAAAGTCCAAGTTCATCTTATAAAAAAAACCTAAAAGGCAAACAAATTCATTTAGGTCGTCTTAGGTCATCCTAACTAAAATCGAGAATTTAGTGCAGCACATCTAATGCGGAACAAACGACACGACGAACTTATAATATGTACGAAAAAAATGTTTCCGAATAAATGTAGGGTTATTTTCGGAGATTTGTAGTCAACTGAAGGATGCCAGCAAAGGCTTAATAGTTTCATAGCGACTGACGTAAACGATAGTAGCAAATGAACGGCAAGTTTTATTTGTTGGTGTACTAAATAAAGAGGCGGTACGCACTAATCATAGGCGCTATAAAAAGTTTAGCTTAAGGTAAGTTAGAAAGCTACAATGAAACGAAGCCAATCCTTAAATATTCTATTCTACATGGTTAGCACAATTCCTTTAAATGCTTTCGCTAAAAAAAAAAAACAGAAATATTGGGGCTAAACAAAGTCTCGACTTTTGTTGGAACCCTTATTTGAGAAGGAACGCGAGGAGTACGTGTGGTCTGGGTGGTCTAAGATAAGTACATTAAATTTACAATTATTTATTTATTTATTTACTAGGTACAAATACACATTTCCGATATATTTATGTACTCTCAGCGAAATTCTTAAAGCCAAAGGCTTAAATTGCATTTCAAGGGACGGTCATTACTCAAGAGCGCAGCAAAGTAAACAACTTCTTAGCATATTTTTCGGCTTAAACGACTAATACGAGAATTTAAGTCATATTGAAAAATCGCTGCTGTTTCCAGCTTCTTTGTACAGCCTGCTCTTTTCAAATGATTCCAAATTGTCATGTGGTTGATGTTTAGTGTCTCCGCTATCTCCTGACAGCTTACATGCTGGTCTTGATCCACCAGTTGCAAAATTTCATTGACTTTTTGCTGACTGCAATGGAATCGAGCAAACCACTTGTAGGCTGTTTGTCTACTCGCAGCATTCGCAAGGTTTTTTTTTTTTTGCACCATTTTTACCCTTTTTATAGTAGAAAAGCATCACTTAGCGTA